TTAATAATTTCTATCCAGTGATGATGTACCGACGAGTTCAAAGGAAAAAGAAAGCGACGAATGAATTGCATACGGTTCGGTCGCTCGTTATGGTCCGCAATCAGTTGCCAGTCGCAAGTGGTTAACCTCTTTGCGCGTCGAGGATTTTTTATCCTAAACTGCAGCATTTTCTCAGTTTTCAGTATATTTAAATGTAACACCGGGCGAAACAAATGATAAGTTTATTGCCTCTTATTAATTTCTATCCAGTGATGATGTACCGACGAGTTCAAAGAAAAAAGAAAGCGACGAATGTATTGTATACGGTTCGGTCGCTCGTTATGGTCCGCAATCAGTTGCCAGCGCAAGAGGTTAAACATTCCAGTAGTTTAAGAAGTTTCTTATTGTTTCGAGAAACGTTCCCTGGTGTACGAAATTTCGAGTTGATCACTTTGGCCATCCTGGTAGTTTATGCTCGTCGGTAGAGGTGCACCTGCACTGATTCAACTTGATTACCAAGAATAATATTTACATAGTTCAATGAGTTTCGAAAAGTTTTCTGGCAAGTAGTAAATCAAATGTACAAAATTGGTCATTTTGGTCGTTCTGGTAGTTTATGCTCGTCGGTAGAAGTACACCTGCACTGATTCCACTTGATTACCAGCAATAATATTTACACAGTTCAATGAGTTTCGAAAAGTGTTTTCTGGCAAGTAGTAAATCAAACGTACAAAATTGGTCATTTTGGCCATTCTGGTAGTTTATGCTCGTCAATACAAGGTGTACAAATAATAGCTACATTATTCCTACCAGTTAGCAATAATAGTACCTGCGTAGTTCAACAAGTTTCAAAAGAATGTTTTCTGGCAAGTTTTGGTCATTTCGGTAGCTTATGCTCGTCAATGCAAGTAATGATACCTACCGTACCTTACCTTGTTGAGTTTCTTATTACCTCGAGAGATGTTATCTGGCCGACAGTAAATCAGATGTACAAAATTACGAATTGATCATTTTGGCCATTCTGATAGTTTTAATAATGGCAGATATTATAGAACA